AGCCTCATCTCTGTGCAGAGAACAAGCAGCCAGTAAACATCAGTCCCCAGCCCACAGACGCTCTTGGGCGCAGTTACATACCTTGTGCCATACATGTTTCCAGAGAACTCCGCATGCTCAATGAACTGCCCAGCGTCAATTTCTTGCTGCATTTGATCTCGGGTCACAAAGTGGTACTCTGGAGCAGAAACAGTAAAGGACAATTGGTATCAGCGTGCAGCTTTCAGCTGATGCAGAACAAGATAAAGGCTCAGGGCCAAGTAGGCACACTGGGGCACTAAAACATACTGAAGCACCCAACTGCCTATGTTAGATGACCAAGTGCTTAGTTAGGTGCCCAGCTTTTAGGCACTCAAATATGCAGCCCTTGGTTACCACATATAGAAACACAATGGATCCCCATGCCCCACCCATGGTATTTAGTTATCACCGATACATCTTTACTATTTTAATTTTTTAATAATGGAGATTGCCTATCTCCTAGAACTGGAAGGGACCTTGAAAGGTCATCAAGTCCAGTCCCCTGCCTTCTCAGCAGGACCAAGTACCATCCCTGATGAATTTTTGCCCCACATCCCTAAATGGCCTCCGCAAGGATTGAACTCACAAACCTGGGTTTAGCAGGCCACTGCTCAAACCACTGAGCTATCCCTCCCCCCAGATACATGGTTGTCCACATATACAGTTGCTACTATTTACATTGCCTCTTCTGCCCTCCAGCGACCTCTCTCATGACAGTGTCATGCATACAACACGCTGCAATAGGAAAGCAGAAGTCATTTCAAGCTAAGTGCCTCCATTTTTAGAAGCGTACTGTGACCCCCCCATCCTATTGCCCCCGAAACAAAACCAGCTTTGGCTGAAATGCCTTATTCTCAATAGGAATGTAAAGCTTTCCTTTGGCAGCGTAGGTACAAATCCCATGTGGATGTCTGTGAGCTATCCAGGCAGAAAGACGCCATTCAGACCTTTCCGATACTTTCTGGAGCTGGGCTGACTCGCGTGTGGCTGCATTTAAACCTCAGTCATTCTGACAACAGAGTTAAATTACACTGGTCCCTCCCAAGTCCGGAGTGAAACAATGGCCCAGGCCTGCTTCTAGGGAGGGTCAAAGGCTCTATTCTGTGCTACTGGAGGCAACGTCTGTTGGATTAGAGATGAAATCTAGAGCCTGACTTCTTTAGTGGCCTGTAAGTCCTAGATATTCACAACTAGGAGACTAGTTTCACTCTGAAATTAGATACTTACATTTATGTGACCTAATTTTCAAAAGTTGTGAGCACCCTGTAACTCCCACTGAAGTTCATCAGAGGTGCTGAGTACTCAGCCCTTCGGCATAGCCGGTCCTTACCTGTTGGGCAATGTTGCTGTGTGCTATCACACAGCTGCTGCCTCCTGCACCAGAGGCAGCTGCATTTCATCAGACGATGAAGTGATCAATGTGTACACATCAGTTTCTAAGTCTCTTTGGGATCATTCAGAATGAAAGGTCTTATAGAAGTGGCTGCCATCGGACGTACACTAAGCAGGCTACAGGAAAGACACTCCATCAACTCGAAGTAAATTAGGGCTGACTTCCCTGTAATTGCACCTTCATGGAACATGCCTGTGAACCACAACACCTGCTCAAATGTGTATGTATCAATGGATCCCAAGCACTGTTAGCTCTTCATTTTCCATCAGCTCAGCAGGCTGTGCCTCTCCGTTTCGCTACGGTTTGGCCAAACAGGAAACACCACCCAGAATTCTTCAAGCAGCAGCCCTGCCTGATCTGACAGCAAACACAAGTGCAATACACTGACCTTTGCCATTCACTTCGCCAACTCTTGGCTGCCTTGTGGTATCTGCAAGCAAACACAGTCTCTGTAATTATGCAGCTCACCCAGGCTTCGACTTAATGACTTGCTAATCCAATTCTCTGATAACTTGATCAAAGCTTCTGGGCCCAATTTGCACCATTTGTTTCTAGATACTTTGACCAGGAATTATTAGACGATTCAGTCTTTGGTTATTGAGGGAAAGGGTAGTCCAATAATGTGGGTATTAGCTTCCTGTGAGACAGTAGGCATGTCTTTTAGGGCTTGTCTACATAGGGAAAAAGCCGACAGCAGCTAGTATGCATTAGCTGCTCCATACTAGGGATGTAAGATCCTGTTTGATTGTTTAACAGGTAAACTGATTAAGTGGGGATGGGGGGCTGCTTCAGTCCAGGCAGGGCTGGAGCAGCCACTGTCCATGGAGCACTGGTTAATCATTAACATCCCTACTCTGTACTAGCCACTCCCCACAGACTTCCCATGTGGACGGTCTTACTGATGCACTAAGAATACCTTGGTGCTCATTAGCTTTATACACTTTGGCAGTGAATTTAGGTAAAGTGCCGGAGAGTCCGTGTGCGTTTTCAGTTAGGCTGTGCCCATGTTAGGATTAAAAGTTTTATTTTTTTTATACTTCTTATTTTAGGTATAGTAATGTAGCAATAATATAGCAATATAAGGCATATATATATATAAACATACATTTAATATTTTACAAATTAAGTCCTTTCAGGTGAAGGTCTATTTTCTTTGTTCTGAAGTTTAGTATATGTTTTGAAGTAGAAAAGCTGTTCTGGGTATTGTGGCTGTGTTAATAAGATTAAAGGAATTCTGCGTATGTTGAAGGCCAAGCCTTAATTGTTTAATTTACAACGCTTTTGCTTTGCCATGCAGATTTGTAACCCCGGAGACTTGTGTTTGTAAGGAGCGTGAATGTGTTGAGATAAGATGCAAAGTTATATGACTTTAGAACCAGATGGTCAAAGGAGGGGGTTAAGCGAGTGCAGGCGAAGGGCAGAGGATGAGACAACCGGACTGCAGAGGAGTCATCTATAACCATCAATGCGTACCCCTACTCACAAGAAGATTGGATAATTGCCAGATTGACGAGTCTCAAAGCGGAGCAAGCACCCCAAAAGGACGATTGATTATAGGATGTACCTTTGAGAGATGTTTTGGGAACACTCACATCAAAAGATAATATTCCGGTCACAAGGCTGACAGAGCGGGATCCATGGATTTTAACAGAGAAGAAGGAATATATAAAGCAGGGTGCTTTGCTATGGAAGTTTGGGTTTCGTCTTGCCAGGATACCATCCCGAGAGAAGCATTGGATCGCGACAGACAAAAGGCCCTGCTTCCCCCCTGTGTTGGATCTAGCTGGCCGCTAGATTGACAGACTCTGGACTGGTCATGATGATGTCATTTGGCAGGGTGGGTGTGTGTGTGTGTGAGATTGAAAAGCATATGCAACTGTTGTCTTCTCAATAACTGCGGCGTACTGCTTTTTCCCCCATAAAAGATCTCGTGTGCTTCGTTTAAGCATAACACCCACACTGCAAGTGCTACAGTCCTGCCCCGCACGCTTCTCAAGCAGCCTCCCTGTCTGCCCTGGCCCTGTCCAAGCTGCAGGGGTCATGTGCGTGTGTGAATAACTACAAGCCAGAGGGGAGGGGGGACATGGTGCTTTGCGCACTGCCTGTTCTTCAAACAGGCAGCTCCCATTGGCTAAAAACCAGCCAATGGAATTGTGCTGGGGATGGGGGCAGCGCATGAACCCTTCCCCCCTCACTCCTCTGGGCTCACAGTTGTGAAAGAGCAACGGCCCGCAGCCACTTTTCTGAGCAGTGTGCAGGGGCAAAGCAACCAGTGAGCCTGCCTGGGACTCCCAGCTGCCTCCGCAGGCTGGATCCAGCAGCTTGAAGGGCCGTATTTTACCCAGCTCTGCTGTAGCGCAAACTAGGGATGTAACAGTGTAGTCGATTCACCAAAGCCTGCCTGGGACTCCCAGCTGCCTCCGCAGGCTGCATCCAGCAGCTTGAAGGGCCGTATTTTACCCAGCTCTGCTGTAGCGCAAACTAGGGATGTAACAGTGTAGTCGATTCACCAATTACTGATAAGCCAAAGCTTATAGGTTAATGCTATAGACTACATGCATTTCCACCCCTCTCCCCCCCAGCCAGCAGCCCTGCTCAGTCCTGGTTTGTGACGGGTCTGGGACCTTCCCCTGCTGCAGCTCTGCATTGTATTAGGAGCTAGGCGGGCAGGCAGCCCAGCTCAGTTCTGGCTTGAACCGGGTCTAGGAGCTCAGACCTCCCCAGTCTGCTGCTCTGTATGAGAGGCAGCAGCACTGGTTTTTAAACTGGCTCCCCTCGCAGACCAGCTCCTGACTAGCAATCCATGCCATAGACGCAGCAGCACAGAGTGGCAGGTCACTCGTTGTGAGTGGGGCCGAAGCACTCTGGCTTCCAACCCCCCCTCCCCTCTCCACTCCTCCTGCCAGCCCCACCCCCAGTGACTATAGAATAGTCAAGCAACAGATAAGAATTCATGAGGTTACTCGACTATTCAATTAACCGATCTTTAGCATCCGTAGAGCAAACTCATTCTCTCTGCCAGTGGTCTAAGTGCCGCTCTTTGGGGCAGTGCAGCCACCCCCAGCCGGTGTGGGGGTTACAGTAGCTCTGCACGTGTGGCAGCTACACAGTCAGGCTGTTCTCGAGCTTTGGTTTCACTTTCAGAAAGCGAAAGCCCCCGAGCCCCCGTCACCCCCACTGGATCGCGCACAAATACTCACGAGAGACACTGAAGCCAAAGACATTGCCGTAGTCTTTAAGCAGCATTTTTAACAGCGTGCTTTTCCCTGCCCCCGATGGGCCGCTCAGAACGACTGGCCTTGGTCCCGTCATGGCTGCAGAGGTGACAAAAGCCAACACATCCCTTGGTTAGAAACACACCGAGTCATGCCCAGTGTTAGGCTCCAGAGGAACAGGGCTCCTGTGCCTGCTTTCGCTTTCAAGCCTCCGCAGCCAACGAGGCCATCAGCAAACAAAGGGCACCGCCTCGGGGAGGGGCCAGGGCAGCAGGGGAAAGATACAGTGGGATGGAGAGGAGAGATGAAATCAGAGAAGCGTAAGCTCTCCGGGCTCAGTGCAGGGGGTGAAACGTGGAAGAGGATGTGCAGCAACATAACCAAGACTTCCTCCCTGTGGGCCTCACCCCTCACCTGCAGGGGCCACCTCTCTGCCAAAGGGAGCTCAGATCTCCAGGAACCAGACAGTTACAGCCTCTCTACTAGGACTACTAGCAAGAGGGAGTGCTGAGCATTGGGCGGGTTTGCCGGGGTGTGGGGACTTTCCCTCAAGGAACTGACCTGAGCTCGAACTCACTTTGTATGCTCCACTGAGCAGCAGCCATTAGCTGTGTGGCTAGGGGCTACTAAGCTGGGCAGGATACAGAAGGGCGTGGAGAGAGCATCCTCTGTGCCGTTCAGTCCCAAGGGAGGGACTTCTCTCTCAACAGAAAAGGGATCGGATCCAACGCTTGCTGGACATTAGACAGAAGCACAGCTACATGGGTACTGCTTTGTATGTTCTCAGGGATGCTTTCTACTTAATGGTTGGGCCAAACCACTTTTTCCCCCAGTATCTACCGTCTAGATACGTGTCGTTTCTTATGCCAACAGAACAGCTTGTATGCACATAAGGTAATGTTTGTTCACCACGTGCGTTTAATAAAGGCGACCAAACACACCTGCACCCCAAGCTCTCAAGGAAGTAAAACTGCCAAAGAACCAATTTTGCTCTTTTTCTCCCATTTGCACCAACTCCAGCTGAATCAACACTTCCTGATCTAAGCAACACACCGCGAAAAGACACACACACAAAGGATGCAGCTTGGGAGGGAGGAGGAAAGAGAATCCGAATCTGCCATAAAACACTTGAGTCACAGGGTCAGAGAAGTAAAAAAAAGAACTGACCCAGCCACTGTAGGAGTTGCCCCAGAACGTTCATCGTGAACAAGCTGAACTGCTCGTTTCATGCTGGACATTGGGAAAAACGTTGCCCCAGAACGTTCATCGTGAACAAGCTGAACTGCTCGTTTCGTGTTGGACATTGGGAAAAACGTCCTGCCTGTCAGGGTGGTGAAACACTGGAATAAACACTGCAGGGAGGTTGTGGAATCTCCATCCCTGGAGATATTTAAAAGCATGTCGAACAGACACCTGTCAGGGATGATGTAGACAGTGCTTGGTCCTGCCAAGAGGGCACAGAGCTTGACTTGATGATCTCTCGAAGCCCCTTCCAGTTCTAGTGTCCTATGATCCTACGATTTCAGAGAGGAAAAACCCAGGGAGACAGGCTTGTCTAGGTAGACTGGTAACACATTGCAGAGGCTGCGATTTTAAATCATGCCCAAGTTGGTAGTCCTCAATCCCATTGCCCTCGGACAGCTGTTTGGTTCTCTCAGTTGGACAAGAGTTCACAAAAGCCTCCTTCCACCGTTAAGTAGCCGACAATCTCAGCAGAGGATGGAATGGGCCAGCGTATTGACACAAAGGGGGAGCAGGAGGGGGGGAAAATCAACTAGGCGACTAGTCCTTAATATCCTTAGTGAGGACTTCCATCTCTAGGGCTATCAACACTGCATGTTCATCAGGACTGAGTTTCCATGAAAGCTTACAAGAAAAGTACATGAACATGCTGCAACCTTTTGGATGCTGCTATGAGGGTAGAAACACTGCGACCTTGGAGAGAGTGGGCCACTGTCTCCCTCTAGTGGTTGAGCCACACAAGGGGATAAGGGTCTACTACAGCTACAAGATGGAGGAATTACTCAAGCTTCAGCTCCAGTGGCAGAAGCTCATGTACTGAAGGTCACAGGTTCAAACTCCCACCAAGTCTCCTTCACTGAAAGGTAACACTCCCACCCCACTATTCTTCCACCACCTCCCCAAAATAGGATCCCAATGCATGTGCTGATCTCGGAATGCCCCTCTCTGCAGACCCTCTTTTAGCTCAGCACCTGCAGGCAACTCTCAGCAAGGATCGTACTCTCCTGCAGAGTGCAGGGGACAGGGCTGTTTCAGACAGAGGGTGGTCTAGGACAGGATCTGAGAAGCCCGCACAAACCAGCCTCTTCTCACACTTTGCAGGCAGCGATACTGAATTCCCCATCTCAGTGCTTTTCCTCCTGCCACGGGCAAGCCTAGCTCAGACCCCAAACTGGAAGATACGCAGCAACTCTATTCAGTCCCATTGTGACACTGCCTCATTGCATGGCCTTGGGCCACACAACCTACCAGCGACTGTTTGCTTGGGGGGAGTGTTCTCTTGCATGCTTTGCTGGGGAGTTAATCATTAGCCAATGTTCATACAAGGGCAGGTGAATTGCATCCTGTATTAGTAGACAGCACACCCCAAAGCAATCCTGCACTAGTAAGAGGTGCTGAACTAGGAAGATTCGGGAGTAGGAATGTGGATGGTTAACTGGTAAGCATCACCCTTACCAGGTGAGGCTTACCAGTTACTGTTAACCAGCTGGGCTGGAACCTGTGGGGAGGAGGAGAGGAGGCCTGCTAGCCCCCCACATATCCCCATTTACATGGTTAACCGGCTAAACATAACGTTTAACTGGTTAACGGATTAAATGGGATGCCATGTCGCTATTCAGCAGTTCATTTCAAATGTGAGACGACACAAAATGCACGACAGATCAAGCTAGCACCGATTTCTCTCCCCAAGTACTTTTCTGCAAGCAGCAGGGACTCTTGGAACGCGTTTTCTGCCCCATCAGTGGCACTCTCCACTTTAGGCAGAGGTCAGAAGCCAAGCACTAGAAGCCTTTTGCAAACAGCCCTCGGCTCAATGCAGCCACTTCCAGATTTCGTTCCAGTCACGTACGCCCTGTAGGCTCGCCTCACGTAGCAGCACGGCCTCAGGGCAGGCAGAACAGAGCAGGCGAGATACTGGTGTCCTCCCCCAACTCCAATGCACAGCTCCATGATCCATCTCGTCACTATATTTATAAATTCAGACAGCTCCAAAACCAGCACATGGATCCTCCATAGACCCTATGCAGAGTACCTTGCCTTACCAGGCACTCGCCTGACAACTACTAAACTACATAGAGGTAAGCAGGAGACTGACCCCGCTATTGGGGGGAACTTTCCTGGCGTCTACATGACCCCGGTGGAATTGGCTAGCGAAAGGATCTGAGTCCCTGCTCCCCCTCCCTTTACCCCAAAACAGCTTGGTCCAGGATTCCTCGGGGCTCAGCCCCTAACCTTGTGGTGGTCACCTTGGGCAGGGGTTGGGCTGTCCCCATTCTGGGGTGCTCTCTCTGCACTGGCCGCTTCCTTGGCCCCCTGATCACTGGTTACCGCTCATGGCAAATAAAGTCTGTTCAGCAGCAACCGGTTTTTTAAAAAATGAAGAAGGAAAAATGGGAAAGGTGAGAGGAAAACCCGTCCCTCCTCCCCCTCCCATAAGCAGGTCACAGTCCTCCTGCCCAGGCTCTGGCTGTGCCGCAGGGATGCTGCAGGTTGGACACTTATTCCGGTGGTGGCCACTCGCCTTCAAGTGGCTGGACCCTCCTCCCCAGCATCAGCCTCCCAGCTGGGGTTATGATCCCCCTCCCCTGCAGGGCCTCTTGGCTGGTGGCATCTCCCTGCACTAGGCCCTCTGCCCAGAGCCCCCCCTCACTCTGCCCCAGCTGCTCTGGGCTGGGCTGGGCTGCCTCCCGCCCCCAGGCTGCTTTTCTGGCCCCTCTGGCTCCAGCCCTGCTCCCAGCCTGGTTCTGCTCTCTGCACCATGCCCCTGGCTCACTCGGTTTGGCTGGGCTCTGCTCGGGCCCCTGCACTCTCCTTAGCTCGGCCCCGCTGTCTGACCCAGGCACATCCAGCTCCCATAGCAAATGGGACACCTGACCCCCCCCATTGGCCCGCTCACCCTGTCAATCAGGCTGACCTGGAGCATTGGCCTCCTCCCATTGCTCCTGGGCACTGTCAGTCTCAGGGTCCTAATTTCCCATCAATCCTTCCCCTTCCGTTTGGTACTGAGGCTAGCCAGCCAAAATCCCCACTGAGTTTTAGTAAGGGGTCAACAATCCCCTTATATATACACACTGAAGAAGGGAATTTTTATATAAAGAAGAAAGTCTTGTTTGTACAGGATCATATCAACACAAAACGGATTTTATTATCCTTAGAAGAACTCCCAAGAAGTTAATTAAAAGCACTAATCAAGTAGGGACTGTACCATTTTACTCGTAAAATGTAAAAAACATAGCAACTAGAAAGGGAAGAGACGTTAGATTTATTATTTAATTTATCCCCCAGGATTTGATTCATTAGTGCTTTATCCTATCTACTTTTTATCACTTCCCTTAGCAATCCTGACAGTTAGAAAGCTTTTCCTGATATTCAACTTACACTATCTTCCTTCCAGCCCCAAGTCTTTGGCGGAGTACCCACTACATTTCAAAAGTGATGCTAGCCGCCAGAGTGGAGAAGATGCATTCCCACTCACGTACCAACTACTGAAGAGGCAATGCAACGTTAATAGTTTGAGCAGAGGATGAGGAATAAGATGTCACGAGTTTTATTCCCAGCTCTGCTGCTAACTCACTTTGTGAACATGCACAAGTCTTTCTCTCTGCCTCGGTGTCCACTATTCCCATCCGTAAAATAAGAAAAAGCGTAAATGAGAGGGTCATGACGAGGCTTAATTAAAATGTTTTTACAAATAATGAAGTTATGTAAATGCAAATTATTATTACTGTTTTGTTCTAGGAAAGCACTAACATAGAAGGCAGCTGTTTCCCCAGCCTGCCAAAAGCTGAATAGTAACTAAGGCCAGGTCTGTGCTAGACCCGGCAGTTTGGCTTAAGGTAAACAATTCCAGCTATGCAGAATACGTAGCAGAAGTCGGCTTACCTTAAGCCGAGCTTGGCAGCACCCCCACAGCAGTAGGACGATGGAAGCAAATGCTCCCGTAAGCTTTCCTCACTCCTGGCAAGAGCAGAAGTACCAGACAC